CTGCGCGCTGCGGGGCGCCGGGGCCGCGAGGGCTCCGCGCTGCAAGGGGAGCGGGCCCGGGCGGCCGCTCCGGGCCCCCACTGGGCACAGCCCCCGCCGCGGGGCTCTGCGGGACCCCCGTGCACGGGGACAAGGACAAGCGGCAGCCCTGGCCCTTCCCTGCTCCCCTGCACGCTCTGCCCCTGCCCAAAGCCGAGCTTGTGGCACCTACCGGGTCCTGCCGCCTCTGTCCCCCCACCGTCCTCTGTGGCGTCCTCCTAGTGCTCCCTGCTTGGAGGGCACCCTGGGATCCTGCTTCCTTTCGGCCTCAGCTCCCCCACTGCTCTCTGCTCCAGGTTGCCTCCCCTCTCCTTGCTCCCTGAGCCCCAGCTTGATTCCTTCCTTGCAGCCTGGACCAGCCGTGTGAGCAGGGGACACCCCGAGCCACTGTCACCCACTTAGCAGAGCGGCCAGCGAAGGTCCCGTGGAGCTGGGCTGGGGGCCGGGCGCACGGCGGGGCCGTGTTTGCCGGTGAGGATGAGGAAGGAGTGGGAGGCCCCACGTGGCCGGGTCTGGCCCTGGGACCCCGCTCTGCCCCCGTCTCCCAGCGGGTGCGATGCTGCCCGGGAYGCTTCCCAGCCTCTCCCTCCCCATGTTGCTGCCAGCGTGGCGGGTCGGGGAGCGCTGGGGCGTTTCGGGGCTGACCTCGCAGCGCGGTGGTGACCGCGAGGGGACAAGACGGGGCCGTTACCACCTTCCAGCCGGGCATTAACGCAGGTTTGGCCGCCCGCAGCCCGGGCCGGGGCCGGCCCCTYGCTGCCCCGCGATGCTCCTGCCCCTGCTGCTGCTCGGGGCCACCCTGCTGCGCCCTGGCGGCGGCTCCTACCAGCACCCCTTCTACAACGGCTTCTACTACAACCACGTCATGAACGACAAGGGCGACGGCCACGAGAACGGTACAGCGGGGCTGGCAGAGGSACCACGGGGTGGCACCAGGGGCTGAATGTCCCCCGGGCAGGGGATGGGGTAGGGAGGAGCAGACGCAGGGGACACTGCTGGCCCCAGGGTTCCCAACCTGCCCATCGCTGCCCTTCCCTCCCTGTCCCCAGTGGTCTACTTCAGTGTGGCCAAGCTCATTGTGGAGACCCCCAAGGACCCCGTCTACAGCTCCAGCGGTGCCAACGTCACCCTGCCCTGCCACTACCACTACGAGCCCGAGCAGGAGTCCAAGCACAAGATCCGCATCAAGTGGTCCAAGCTGCGCGATGACTACACCAAGGAGCAGGACGTGCTGGTGGCYATCGGCAAGACCCAGGTGGCCTTCGGGGCCTTCAAGGGCCGCGCGGGCCTGCGGCAGAGCGGCCGGCGCGAGGCCTCGCTCGTGGTGAGCGACCTGCGCCTGCAGGACGCCGGCAAGTACCGCTGCGAGGTCATCGACGGCCTGGAGGACGAGAGCAACGTGGTGGAGCTGCGGCTGCAAGGTGGGACATGGCGGGGACGGCGCCGTCGCCCTCCCAGCGCCGCAGACCTGGAGCAGCCGCCGGCGGGGCGAGCAGGGCCCTTYGGGTGCCCCTTTGTGGGGCAGGTTCCTGGCTCCTCTGGGCACGGGCTGAGCTGGTGCTGCTGGCCGAGAGGTCCCTGCTCAGGCCCCAGCTCTGCTGCTGCACTTGGTGGGAGGGAGCATCCTCGGCTGGTGCCCCTGCCCACCTTGGGGCCCTTGTCCCTGCTGGTCCATGTGCTCCACGTGTGCCCATGGTGGTGGTCCTTGGGGCCCTCTTAGCAGTCTGGACATCGCTATGTGTCCCCATGATGGTGGTCCCCACATCGCCATAGTGTGGTCCATGTGTCCCAGGACTGCCGTCCCCATGTCCCTAGGCTGATGATCGTGCCCATGGTGGGGATCTTTAGGCACACAGTCTGTGCGTTCCCCTGCTCTGTGGTGGCACTGGTGTCCCCACGTGTGTGTCCCCAGGACAGTATGTCYCCGTGCCACCAGATGTCGCTGGCAACTCGCCGTTGGTGGCTCCAGCACCTGGAGCTGACACTGATGTGGGAGTCTGGAGGCAGCTTGGGGCCCATCTCGTGTCCCAGCAGCAGGAATCTGGGATGGGTCGGTGCCCCTGTGGTGGGACCGGCTGTCCAGGCTGGGGACCGGGCAGCGGAGACCCCTGGGCGCCCCCTCAGCGGCCCGTGTGCCCCTCCGCAGGCATCGTCTTCCCATACCAGCCGCGGGGCGGGCAGTACCAGCTCAACTTCGCCGAGGCCGAGCGGGCCTGCCGGGACCAGGGCGCCATGGTGGCCTCCTTCAGCCAGCTGCTGCAGGCCTGGAGCGAGGGCCTGGACTGGTGCAGCGCGGGCTGGCTGGCGGACGGCACGGTGCACTACCCCATCCGGCAGCCGCGCGCGCACTGCGGCGGCCTGCACCTCGCGCCCGGCATCCGCAGCTACGGCCCGCGCCACCGCCGCCTGCACCGCTTCGACGTCTTCTGCTTCTCCTCGGCGCTCAGAGGTGGGTCCGGTGCCGGGCACGGCCCTCGCTGCCCTTCGGGGATCGTCTCGCCCACGCACGGACGCTCCGGATGACGCCCCCGGGCCGAGGGCTCCGCGCCTGAGCCTGCCCTGTCCCTCCTAGGGGAGATCTTCTACGTGGAGCGCCCGGGCGGGCTGACGCTGGAGGAGGGCGGGCAGGYGTGCCGGGCGGCGGGCGCCGAGGTGGCCCGTGTCGGGCAGCTCTACTCCGCCTGGAAGTTCCAGGGGCTGGACCGCTGCGACGCCGGCTGGCTGGCGGACGGCAGCGTCCGCTACCCCATCGCCAAGCCCAGGGCCAACTGCGGCCCCGGCGAGCCCGGCGTGCGCAGCTTYGGCTTCCCCGCCGCCGGCCGCTTCGGCGTCTTCTGCTACAAGGAGAGATGAGGAGCTGCCGGCGCCCGCTCGGCCGCAGGACGTCTCAGCCAGGTGTTTCCCAGGTCTTCGGGGAGGGGACGTGTGTTTGGGTGGGAAGGGGGACTTTTTTTTTGGTTTATTGTTTTTCTTGCTTTACGTTTTCACACTTCTCAAAGGCTGCCCCGCGGTGCCCGGGCTGGGGAGCAGGGCTGGGTGTGAGCCCGTGGCACTGGCAGCACCGGTGCCCGGCCCCRTCGCGGGCACAAGGACGATGGCCCCGTTGCCCACGTGGGCTCGGCGGCTTGAAGGCCGCTCCCACCTTCACCCCTTTGGCCACCTGCACCCCCTGGGGCTGGTGGCTCTGTCCCCGCCTGCCTGTCCCCAGGCCTGGGGGTSCCGGCCCCACGGCTGCCCCCAGCAGCCTCCCAGAGCTCGCGGGGCGCAGCCGGGTTTGGACTTGTGGGCGCCGGCGCATCCCTGTTGTCCCGGTGCCGCTGCAGGATGTGCCGGCTGTGGGGGAGCCCCGGTGCCCTCCTCCCTGGGCACCCTCGCCAGGGCGCCCCACAACACTGGTGCCTTGTTCAAGAGCTGGGTTATGACAAGATTCATTTTCCTCTTCTAATAAAGTGTTGGAGAAAGGCCTYGAGCCGTTGGACTGTCCCCCCATTTCTGTTTTGGTGCAAGAACCGCATCTGCACCCCTAAGGACTGCAGAGTGGGAACACGGTGGAGATGCCGACCACAGTCCCCTCTGCTGGGGCCACCTGCTAATTGGGAAGCTAAAAAGTGGGTGCTCGGTGCCCCCTTKCTTGGGTGCTGCTCCCCAGAGGAATGCCAAGGGATTGGGGAGCAGGGAGGCTATGGGGCAGGGAGGGGACTCCTGGTGTCCCCCAGCCCCATGGGAGCCACGTCCTACCCCAGAGTCCTTCCTGGGTGCTGGAATCTTGGGAAACCCCCAGGCACCTCCGGGTGCTGCACGGAGCCCAGGCTGGATGCTCCTGCCCTCCACAAGGTTGCACATTTCCTTCCCCAAAGGACACCAAAAAGAGAGAAAAAAAGTGACCGTTCCGATTTCACTCTCTTTATTATTTATCATTCTTTCAAAATAGGATATGTTCCAAAATATAAATAGGTGCAGGGAACGCTGGTGCCCCGCACGGTCCCCTGGAAAGAGCACGTCCCCGGGCCGGGAGCTGCGGCGCGGGCAGAGCCGGGGCCGCCRCGGCCCCCGTTTGGCCTCCCTGCCCCCCAGCTCCCGCGGTCTCAGCCCCTACAGCCCCTACATTCACTGCCCCTCTGCCCGACCGCCCCGACGTGCTGCAGCGGTAGGAGGATTCTGGAAAAAAAAATAAAATAAGCCCCAAAAGGTGCTGTCCACCCCGGAGATTAAATAACAGAAATAATTACATTGTTCATGGATAAAATCAGGAAAAAATAATCATCTTTATTATTTAACTTAACCCCCTGCCCTCTGCAAACCCACCCCCCTCCCTGTCCCCAAAGGCACAAAGATAATTGGAACCGGACGGTTAGTAAAAATGCTGAATTCTAATTTGCTTTGGTGCTTGGAAAAAAAAAAAACAGTATTTTTTTTTATATATATACACAAAGGTGGGTTTTCTTTAATATAATTCTTTTTTTCCTTATATGACAAAAAAGGCAACAAGAAGAAGAAGAAATGGACTCTGTTAATATAACTGCTCTGTAAATCTCTCTGTCTGTCTGTCCCGCTCTCTCTTTCCCCCCTCTGTGTCTCTCTGGCCCCGCTCTAATGGGGGGGCCCGTGCTCGGCTCCGCCGCTGGGTCTCGACCGAGTTCTGGGGCTCCTCTTGTATAGCCGGCGCTGGAAGCTGGAGGCTGCGGGAGAAGAAAAGGCAYCTTGTTAGTGGCAGGAGGGCACAGAGCCCCGGCTTGTCCCGGCCCGGCTCCCTGCTAAACCGCGGGGCGGCTGCGGGGAGCGCGGCGCTGGCCCGCGCACAATCGCGCCTTCTCTCGCCCCGCTCCGATACCCCATTTTCCCACTTTTTTTCTTATTTTTTTTCCCAGTGTGTTTTGCAAGGGCCTCTCATTTTCCCCCCTGCTCCGGGATGTCCTGCTGTGGGGCAGCTCCGTGCAGCCGGCCCTGCCGCCCCTTCCCTGCTGCTCCCTGTGGGGCTGACGGGCCCTGCTCCGAAGCGGGATGCAGGACACGGGGCTCTGGCTCGGGCTTTGCTGCCCTGCTCCTCCAAACCTCGTATCGTTCCTGTGCATCGCTAGGAGGAGGCATCTCATGGATGCCACAAAAGCTTGGGAATGGCCCAATTTTCTTGGTCTGATTGCTGCTATGACCACCCTGGGAGCAGCGTGCGGCAATCAGGGTCCATGGCAGAGCCGGCCCCACAGCCGTCCCCTCCATCCCTCTCTCTGCCCTCTCTTCCCTGGCTCAGAGCTTCCTCCCCCGTCAGCATCAGCCTCCTCTGGCCTCAGGACTCTGAATTCAGCTGGAATTGCCCAGCTGGAGCAGGAGCTGGCAAGGAGGCCGATGACACTTGACAGATGCGACTCGGCCCAGGCACGCCAAGTTCCTGGGAAGCGGCAGGGCTGGAGCGGGGTGTAGGCAGCCTGGGAATGGGCCGGGCCGCCTCGCCGGGAGCCCCGGCTGCTCTGGCTGGAGGCCTCACGGCAGGAGGGTCAGGAGGCCAGCACCAGCTCCCAGGTTGACTCTTCTCAGGGGTTTCCTCCTGCTCTGCGGCTCGCTGGGGCAGTGGAGCAGGCAGGACCCAGCCGGGCAGGGGGGGAGCTGCGTGGCTCCCTCCTCTCCTATCCCCTTTCCGTATCCTGCGGGTAGTGCCCAAACTCACCGTTTCAAAAACTGCTGTTTGTTGCTCTGGAGCTGTCCTGAGCCCCTGCTGAGCCCTTCCCGGCCCCTGGCACTGCCCCTGGGCTCAGCAGGACACGGGGGTTTGCAGCAGACCCCACACCTTGGCTCTGCTCCCTGCCACCGATTGCAGTGCCTGCTTCTCCAGCAGGTCCCCATGGCCCAGACTCACCCAGCAGGCCGCAGCTCCATGCAGGGGAGCTCGGAGCAAGGCCAAGGACGGTGCTCTCCTCCGCTGCCTGGCTCGGGTCTAACCTGCGCCCTAAGGAGCTGGGCTGGCGCAGGGAGGCCGGGGCCCCTCCTGGCCATGCTCGCTCCCATGCTCAGGGTGATTCGTTCCACCCTCATTCCCAGCTCCTCCTCCCAGATGCACAGAGGCCTCAGTCCTAAATCTCCCCAGCCAGGAAAGCTGGGTGGGGGGAAGGATTTAGGAACTGCCATCCCTTTGCGCAGCTCTCCTGAGTGCAAACATCTGCTTGGGCTGCAGGATTTCCTGCCTCAGGCTGCACTGAATTTTCTCCCTCCCCATCCCAAACAGAGCGTGATGTCCCTGGCTGGTGCCAATATGGAAATGTGGAAATGGAGGGCCTGAGACGTACGGTTTGTGCAGGATATCCGTGGTTCCTCCCACTGCCCATTGGGCTGGCACCGAATCGTGGGCACGTGGCGCTGGACGTAGCCGTGGTTGCACTGGTACCGAACCAAGGAGTTTATCTCGTAGCGCTCCTTCTTCCTGCCGAAGGTCCGGGCATTCTCCACCACAGGGGGGTCCCCACAGGCCACTGTGGGAGACAGGCAAAGGCACCGGGAGCGTGAAGACTCCTGCTTGGCAGAGCTGCCCAGCAGAGCTCACACCCCCTGCTCGGCCCGGCCGCTGTGGTGGGCCCTGGCGTCCGGGCACCAGGAGCTGCTCTCCCAGTGGGTGCAGCAGGACGAGGCGGCTCTCAGGGCAGGGGCTTTATCTCGGGGCCAGGGGCCGGCTCCACAAGAAAACAGCGACAAATCCTGCAGGACTGCAAAGGATGTAGACGCGAGAGCTGATGACAGGAGAAATGTGTTGGCTCCCTTAGGCGGAGCTGGGAAGCGAGCGAGCAGATTTTGCTGGGAGAGGGTTGGGAGGGAAGGGAGGGCCGTTCCGCAGCAGGCAAGCCCCGGCATCGCCGACCTGCACATCTGCTGCCGGAGACCCTGCCCCGCACCCAGAGGGCAGGGCTGAGGGGCTGCCTTGTTCTCCACCGCTGCGGACGCGACACCCGCTCTTGGGGACTCCTGGTACTTATTTTCAAGACTTCAGAGGCCTTTTTCACAGTGTCCTGCTCAAACTTTAACATCAACTCCACATCTTTATGTGCAGCGACAATCATATCTTTGCTCCCCATAATAATTCTCCTGTGCAGAAATTAAACTTTCAGTGTGGAGGGCTGAGGGAGATTTGTGGGACCCCTGTGGGGGTCACAGCACACCAAACACCCCCACGCAGGCTGCAAAACCCCACTGCTTATGGGCCTTGTCACCAATAAGCTGCTGCTCATGTACATGGAGCGTTTCCCCAAAGAGAGCAACAACTCCTGGAGACCAAAACTCGCTGCTCCAGCCCTGGAGCTGGTGCTTGGGCTGGCTCCTCCCGTCTTTGCTTTGCTCCCCCTTGCAGAGGGCTCACCTGTTCCTTTCTTGCACGTGAAAGGGAGATGGTAGTTGCACGGGACGTCGTTCCATTCGCCTTGCTCGTGCCAGATCATCACAACACAGTCTTCACCAGCGGCAAAGAAGTTATCGGGTTGATTGGGCCGCCAGTTCTCAAATTGCTGTCGAGAGAGAGAAGCCCTTCCCCTAAGACCGAGTCCTCCCCTCTCTCCTATTTCTCCCTTTTTGCCTGTTTTGTGTCTCCCACATCTTCTGTCCCTTCACCAGCATTTATCGACAGCAATACTACTATCATTGTTATTTGTATTGCCACGATATCTGGCAGCTTAGCTGCACATCAGGCCCTATTCTACCAGATGCTGGAAAAACCAGGAGAAACCAACAGCCTTTGGTCCAGAGAGTCCTGAGTGCCTCCACTCAATACCCGATCCAAGCTCCGAGCACAGAACGTGTGCAGTTGTGTCAGCAGCCCCTTTCCTTGCCCACACAGCCAAGACCTGCCTGCAAAGAGCTACATCCCCTTGTCCCAGGCTCAGCACCCCATGCCCTTCCTCACCAGCGAGTGCCCGTCGGACCAGCGGAAGTCATTCTCCACGGTTCTGTCGCTGAGCCCGATCCACTGGTAGTCCTGTGCATGGTCTGGATGAAATGGACAGGGAGGGAAGAGTAAGAAAGAGCAGACCCACCTTGCCGTGGCTTCCATCCATTGAGCACCCCTCTCCCAGGATATCGCAGGATCATTTCACTCTTTCCCAGTCACCAGTCTTTGCTGTCCACATTTTTTTTTTTCCCCAATTATCATCTCTTTTTTCCCCTGTTACCATCTCTCTCCCTACAAACTTTATCACGATGACAAGATCTTTCATGCCACCTACACTGCTATGGGTCACTGGGCTTATACCAAGTGAATGTTTTGTGAACCACACTAGCTCTATGATGGGAGCACAGATCTAACCTAGTCGTGAACAGGTGTCTTGCTGTTCCATAGCCTAATAAGTTCCTCCTCTCCCACGCAAGGACAAGGTGTTATTTGACAGGAAATATATGAAAATCCATCAGATAACTCTGTGTTTTTTTAGTCCCTTTAGTCTATCCACATACTTGCAACTAGTTGGTTGAACCCTGCCCATTCTCACATCTTTAAGCCCTCACGTCTTCTGCCCTCATCACTCACTGTTCACAAAGTCTTGCTCTTCCGGGGTGATGATACTGCTCAGGTGGGCTTGATGTTCTCGGCATCTGGTCTCTGCATCCACCCAAGTCTCCCTCTCTTCAAAGTGCCTGTAACAGTGGCCCTGGAACTTGGTCCAGCCTTCCTCACAGTTTTCCAGGTCTGAAACACACAAAGGAATGAAAAGGAGTTGGCTGCATGTGGCTGGAAGCATTCCAACTCACCTTTTAGCTGCTCACACACTCATGGCACAAAAAGATGACATGCGGTCCCATCCACTAAAAACCAAATCTTGATATTGTCTTGTTATATCCTAGGGAAAATGATCAGAAGGCATCCAAGAAACACTCAGAGGGAGGAGGCTGCTTTGAAGACCATCTGTTTACAGTATGGTCATCAACACTATTGGAAAATGTGAGTGAGACAGACAGATTCCTAAGCAATTCAACCCCCAAGTGGCTTTCTAGGACTCTGTTTATGAGAGACTGACCCAAGCAACAGCCCTTCTCTTCTAAATTCGTGCTGTCTTGCAGAAATTTCTTGCTTTGGAAAGCAATCCTGAAACCTGAATTCAGATGTCCAGAACTGACACTCATCCTTTGCAATGCAGTTTTTTTCCTGCTGTTTGCATGCCACCCCTTGTTGTCACAGCCTGGGGAGGGAACAGAACATGGCACGGGTCCTCAGCAGGACATTGCCTGGGACAAAGGCCACTCTTTCCTACGTATCTATTGCTTAGAGGGTAAATGAGACAGGGATCAGTTCTGAAAAGAATGATGAAAAACCTGTCCCTGGCAGTGACACTGCTGTAGTGACAAGATGGATGGATGGATTGTCTGCACGGACAGCAGAGTTCACCTACAGTGTCCCTGCTGTTCCTGGAGAGTGACAGATATTAGAGAAAGCAAAATTGGCTCATAGGAATGAAGATTTATATTTGCCACTGAATGTAGGGTGCTCTTGTAGCTCCTAGACTATGGGCTCTAGCTGTCATGAGCCCATTAATAATAGAAATAATAGAATAACAGAAAAGAGGGAATTAAGTTTGGCTTAGACCAAACAAGGTCAGAAGTAGCCACAGGATAGAAAAATCTCATGTTCTCTTTCAGGGATCTTATGGCAGAGCAACAGGTGGCATGAATGGGGAAATCAGGAGTTGATTAGGTTGCATTAGTTAAGAGAAGTGAAGAGTGCTATTCCAGCCCAGATAATCCAACAATCCACAGCCTTATTCTTGTGGTCTCCGTTGCATGTACACATTGAAAACAGGGAGAGAGATGTAAAGAAAAAAAAAAAGAGGAGACAATATATATTACCATTACTCGTGACAGGGTAAAGAAGAAATTGTAACCTTATTCCGCTCTTTTTTTGAGCAGGAGAATTTGCCCTCATTACTAAACTGATGGAAGTATGGGCTCTTATAAGCTCTAAGAAAAAATTACATTTTTTTTTCTTTCCTCGTGGAAAGAAAAATAAATATTAGTGCAGGTCTAAGTACTTCATCTTGATGAAAAAATAGGTCATTTCATACTTCCTCAAAGACAGACATTCCCTGCTGATTTTGCCACAAGAAGCCACGTTCAAGAGATGACAAAAATGTCATGCTGAGCCAAATTGGTGGGGATCCCTGGTGTGAATGAGGTTTCTTTCAGCTGCGTCTTCACAGAGAGAAACACAATCGTTTTACACGGCTCAGTTCAAGCATCTTTTCATGAAATTCCAGTCTAGCGGAGAGAGTTTGCCTGCGGTGAAGATGTTCTTAGACATAGCACTACTGCTACAGATGAACAGGAAGACCCTTTACCTGAAGGGATAGTGACCTCTGTGATCAACATATTGCACTCTGCATGAGGCTCCACCAGAGAAGGTTATTAAAAAAGGTTAAAGATGACTCCAAAAGTTTTGCTTAGAACATGGTGCTGCAATGAATAAAATAACCAAAATATATAAGCAAAAGGCTCAAAGCTTTTCCCTACTGTGAGTATTTAAATCTGATGTTAGAGGTTAGCTCGCTGCGATGAAGGCATGACTGATGGGAGCACCCGGGATCAGCTTTTTTTGGGGTGTAGGGTGAGAACAAGGTAATGCAGATGTTAGTAAAATTAGCTGAAGCCAAGGAGGCCGTACCGATCTCACACATGTCCCCTCCGTAGCTGGGAAGGCATAAGCATTGGAAAGAGTCGATGCCATCAACGCAGGTAGCTCCATTCAGACAGGGGCTTGAGTGGCACTCATCAATGTCTGCAAGAAATCAAGGGCTTCCATTAGGGCTCTGGCCAGAGAACTCCACCAACAGGAGAACTTGTTTCCTTGCTTGTTTAGAAGGACGTGTCAGTTGTTTGGGAAGAACGGGGGAGCGATTAAGATCTTATTTTAAAACCTACTGCTGCTGCTGGAGGAATGAACACAAGAGACCTGACCCATCCTATTTGATGACTGAACACCATCTAGAGATGTCTATCTTCGGTAAAGATATTTCCACTACATGATATCGTTGGCATCTATAGTGTCTTCTTTTTCACCATCTCTTCCTGATGGATCAAATATGCAAACTTGTGTCTTGGCTTCCACCAGGTCCATGTCGGAAGGAAGAATGTGGGCTTCTCATAAGTGAGGGAAACATCCTGATATTAATCTCTCTCTCTTGCTTGGAGACAGAGATTCCTACTATTTTTTTTCCTAACCATGATTCAGATGAAAGCCAAGACAGAAACCTCACCTCAATTAAGTGCAAGGGAGAATAAAAGTAGTTACAAAGATGGTTCAAAGACCCTCAATCTTTGCTCCTTGAAGATCTTAGGATGGACCATTAGGAACCAATTTCCTGTCAAAGAATGACAGAGAGAAATGCCTTTTTCTCCAGATCTGTTCTCACCATATGTTCTTCTTGTGATTCCCTCATGGAGAAGAAATTTTAATTTCCCATACAGAGCAGGCTTTAAGAATCCTGCATTTCCAGAGGTAAAAAAGAAAAGGTGGAATGAGAAGAGTTTGACCCTAAGCTCTTCAGTGTTTCCCAGCTTGCTATTTAACACCAGCTTCGGTAGTAAATACCATTGTTTGGTAGCACTTCCATCAGCTTTCATCTTGGGACAGAAGGAGGGAAGCAAGGATGCTCTGAAGAGGGCCACGGAAAGCCTGTTTGTATCTACATACTATAAAAATTCAGCTCTTGCTGGAAATACTAGCTCTTTTCTTAGTATCTTTCTTAATCCTACTCCTATTTACAGAGCTTTGGAATCAGAAGAAAAGTAATTTAGAATGAAAAGATTTTGGAGGTGTTCAACTCGAGAAGTAAGGAACAATATTAAGGAAGAAACTGGAAGCAATTCCATGCAGATTGGGTTAGATCCTTGTGTGAGAAAATGCTTCTCTGCTGCAAGACTGTGAAAGAGTCTGAAAGATTGGGGGGCTTTAAAAATGCTGACTAACACTCAACACTCTTCTTGTGGACGGGTTAGTGAGAAAATATGCACAGATGATGAGAATGCTGGTCATGGAAATAGCCACACCAGAGCCAAGCAGCAAGTCCTGTATTCTTCTGATTAGGGCATGTTCAGTGTGATATTGTCTCCCTGCAGAATAGCAGAGAAATGCAATTATTCCCCAGATGGCTGATGAACCACTTAGATCAGTTTAGCAATTAGTTCTTCATGAGAAAAGATTTTTTTTTCTTCTGGATTGCACTTCTAAGTATTCATGAATACTTTCTGGATTATTATATTCACTTCAACATGAAAGAAACTGGAGAACTTGCTTCCAGTGACACTAGTAAATACTTTGAGACTTCCCAGAACAAAACTGGAGTCATGGGCCTAGTAGGAGAGAAAGGCAAAACTTGGCTGGTTACTGCATTATTATTTGCATTTGGTGTTTCTGAAGGTTTAAAGCATTAAAAAAAAAAAAAAAAAAGTGTTCTGATGGTTGATTATAACTGTAGAGGCTCCCCTGGGCTTCCCAACAGCAGTAGCAGCAGAAGTTCATATTGATTCCAGTGGCTCCAGCTGAACAAGTAAGGAAAAGCTCTCCTTTGTCCATTAGTCTCCATGAAGTGGAAAGTACAACGCAGGAAGAGAAACAAAGCACATAAAAGAGCTAAAGCAGAATGTTTAGCAGGGAATAAAGAGTCTTCAGTCATCTTTGGCAACGTGGCCTAACAGTTGGTGCATCCAAGATCTCTTCTGGGATGCACGAGACCTGCTGTAAGTTGCCATTCCCAATCTTGGAGGAAGCTGGAGCAGATACACGCATGCAAATTCGCTGCCAAAATCTCCAGCTGGGAAATAACACTGGAACAGGATTTCCTTTTACAGGTATTGTATATAATATGACTGCACATATTATATATACTCTAAAAATAAATCTCAGAATGTATGTATATGTATTTGTGCCCATAGTATACATACATATTTTTATATATATCATGCAAAGAGAAAGGATCTGTACTTGAAGATATTGTTGGAAAAAAATAAACAAAATGAGACATAGACATGTTTTTCCCAGTAGCATGCTGAAAATGGCTGGAAAGAAGACATTTCAAACACATTACAATCATAAATATCAAACTCTCCCTTCAGCCTGTTGCTTTTTGGGACCAGGACTGTGCCTATGATTAGATGGAGGAATTGCTTCACGCAGCCACTTACCAGGAATCTCAAACGCATCAGCCTGTTTGGAGGAAACGTTGCTGACTCTGTTCCTCCCAGAAAATTGGGGTCTTAGAGGATTTTTCTAAAAGTCCTCAAGGTGAAACTGGAGGCATTGTTGCCACTGGAAACCCTGGCAAGCAGGTTTGCGGGCATTTCTAGGATATCACAGCAGAGCCAGAGGATTTGCAGGAGGTGAGAACTCCAGTTAAAAAAAAAAAGTACAAAATCCCATTTATTGCTCAATGCTTGGCTTTTCTTAACCTTTTAGACACCATTAATGCATACAGCCACAGAGCCAAGGGCTGGATAAAGTTAATAAATCACCGTGCACTTTTTCCAGCCCTCTGAAAGCCCACAGCACTCGTGCAGAGCAGCACTGACAGCAGCTGGCGGCCACGCTCCTTCACATCTTAATTGGATCCTTAAGATCCAAGAATCTTCTGCAGCTCTTTATTTATTTGGGTAAACACTCATTCAAAGAGTTGGCTTTGCTCGACTTTTGTTGAGTCCTGCAGCTCAAGCACTTATAAAAAGACAAGAAAAAAGGCTATTACTGCTATTACTGAGTGCTAATAAAGGAGAAAGTACTGCGGGACACGGAGCAGAGACAGTCCTTGTTTTCTAGAGTTTCAGCTCTAAAATAGAGGCAGGAAAAAAAAAGCTGTAGTGCTAGGCATAAGAAGTCCATTTTAAATATATTAACTCACTTCTTATTGCAAAAGCAAACTCTGCAATTTGTCCTGCAGTTAATATCACCCAGAAGTTGTAAAAGATTATCCAAGTCCATTGTCAGCAATTTTTACTTAATGTTATTAACAGGACTTGAAATCTGACTTTCAGGGGGAAAATAAAACAAACAAAACAATGCAAGCAGGCTCTTGGCATCTGGGAAATATAAAGTATTTGCTGTAGAAAGCAAAGGGGGTTACAGAGATACAATTCAAATCTTCATTTTTTTTTTCACTATTTTCTTCCTAAGCTTTCTCTTATGTTGCCAAATACATCCTACATTAACCAGTACCATTTTATTTTGATGGAACTAAACACAAAGCCTTTCCCAAAGCCTTTGCATGCTCTGCACTGAGTTTCTGTAGCCCCAGGTGACATGTGTGATCATGGAAATTAGTATAAGAAATTACTTAGGAAAAAGAAACAGTTTGGGCCAGGTTTTGCTCAAAAGGCAAATGATACACAATAGTGAACATGTGGTGTTGGTGGTGAAAAATAAGGACTTTTGAAACCCTTCATCCCAAACTGAGAAGACAATACTAGAAACTGCAAAGGCTCTTTAAAACAGTGCAATCTGTGCTCTTCTGCCTATGGTAGCTTGTACCAACGATGAGTAAAAATATCCATTAAACAAGGTTAGCTTTGCTCTTGAAATATTTATGGAGGAGAAGCAGATTGCAAACAGATGGGATGCTATCACCCAAACCCTGAGCAAACTTGCATAGTTTTGGGGAAGCTGTGAGTAACTTTCAGGGAATTCCTGCTCCTCTTCCACAAAGAGGAAAAGCAAGATATTTTCAGGATATTCAACAGTCAATGTCGTGCCACTCGCTTCTTTACACACCTCTTTATAATTGTGATCATCAAAACAGGGTCTCAGATGATCAGTTGGTAACTGTCTTATAGAGACTGCAGGAAGAGTGTCTAGCTAGGAATGAAGTTTGCTTTGCAGAGACCCCTGGCAAGGCTGAACAATATGACAGATCAGGCAGAGGAGAAAAACATTTCAGCAGATAGACTGATTTCCAGAGGAGAATACAAGGAGTCTAAGAAAACGATTCTCTGACATTTAAAAAAAATACTAGCATTGCTCATTGCATAGTCAGCTAGTGGGTTCCAGTGAATATTCAGTCATTAAAATAATTAATACTAAGAAAATAATTAAACTCCACTCCTTTGGATAGGGCACGAAGAAGTGTGAAACTCCATGAAGACGTTTTTCCATTTGGATTCTCACTTTAAGCTGTTTTGGGACCATAGGCAGCAGAATCCATGGACTTGTTCCACCAGACACAAGCAAAATTTAGCATAAATTGCTGCCATTTCAACACATTTCTGTTTTTTCCCCTCTCTGACCTGAGTGTGATTTTTAAATCATCAGTTGATTATAGTGCTCCAAACCACAGCTTTTCACTGAAATACCAGTATGCTTTTTTCAGCTAATAATTATTTGTTTTCAGATGTTACCAGAAGTAAAAAGGACCCAGTGCGTTGACAAAACTCTGGATGAAGAGGCCAGGTCTATGGGCAATTCTTCAAGCTTTAGTCCTGCGAGGTTCCTGTGCCTGTGTAGCCTTCAATTTGGTAAAGCAATAAAAAATACCAGCATTTGAAGGGTTAGTCTTCACTGGCTCTTCCTTTCAGAGGGAAGTAGAGGCTACTGCAAAGCAGCAAACGATCATTCTTCATAATTCCTCCCATTAAAAGGACTGCTGAATCTAACTGGCAAGACTGGAGCACAACAGCCCCATGGTCCCTGTCCCTCAGTTCAGGCCTGTCCTAAGCTGAACTCCTTTTGCCCCTGCTCTACTGCTCCTCTAGATTAACTACCTTTAAAGCATATTTGTTACACTTGCAAACACGGAGCACAGATCAGCGCACAGATATTATAACTGATGTTTCTGCAAGATTTCTAGACCAGGAAGTTTCACACAAAACAAATAGCCAGAAATAAGGATTAAAGACGTTTTACCTGGGAATACCTTTCCTTGGGGAGAACCCTCACCAAGCACATGTTCTGAAGCCCATCTCAAGCTAATAATGAATCTATAATCAAGCTCTATACAGCTATGTCTTTCCATTACCTGCTTGTAAATCCTGGCTGCTGCCCTGTCATTTCTGCAACACACTAACCAAGCAAGCTCCGTTTTTGGAGCATTTTCAAACTTCTTCACACACAAGCTGACAAACGCACCATTTTCTCCCCAAATACTTCCCAAGAATGCTGGCTAACAAATGCCAAATGCTCTGAAGAATCTGGCAACATCCTTGTGGGTAATTTATAAAAAGAAAAAGCAGTGAAATCAAACCACTTTTGGAGCCTTTAAAATAAAATCTTATTTTGCTTAGCCTTACTGGCTAGTTCCCTTCCTTCCTTCCCTGTCTTTGCTGAACTGTCTTGGCCTCCAGGCTGGGACGTGGCAGTGAGCACGGTCCCAAAGCAGAAACCATCGGGCTGCAAAGAAGATGTTTGGGTATTTAATTGGGCAGCTGTTTAACAGGTAACTTGCATCCTGACAAGCGCCCAGGCTGGTACAAAGCTGGAAGAGCTTTGCAGTTACAGCCCTGTTCCCTTGCTCTCCTGTAGCACCCACCGTACGGAGGCTTGAGGGGTGCAGAAAGGACCTCACATGTATTCTAAGCAGGAATGACCTTAGCTTTATGATTACCTCTGTTTTCCCAAGGAGAGAAGTGACGCAGAGAAATCCAGTGACTCATTCAAAACACTTTGGGAATGGAAATGAAGTTAGAAGCCAGGCCGAGCTTCACAAAGCCCTGCACTTAAAGATCCGTACAAATCCAGTGCAAACTATGCTGAATAGTGCAAATTAACCCCAGAAGATGCAGTTCAGGATGTAACAAACAGTAGGAACCTGGCCTTAACACTGTTTTTGCTAAGAGCTGGGCAAAGCAACAGGGCCTGTGTGAAAGCATAGCCTGTTTGGACTGTGACGCACCCGAACTCTTGTGTTGGACCATTTGCCAGCAGCACAAGACTTAACAGCTTTGAAATGATGTCTACCCACAGGATATGGAGCCTGCTCCTAACTGCAGCCAAGTGAAACAGGTCGGGGCCTGGGATGTTGTGGGACATGTTACTTGGGATGAGTTCTTGCCCTGGCCAAGCAGCAGTAGCTGACAAGCCCCAAAACATCCCCTCTCCTTTCTTTTCTCACCGTAGTGCCCCATTGCCTCTGCGGCACATGAACACTGCTCAGGGGTGGCTTGTCAACAGGCCTGCAGAGCATTTTCACCCTAAAAGGTTACTCCAATTTCAATATTGTATCTGTTTATCCCAAGGCACAGAGCCTAAGTGCACCAAAAAGGAACAGGATGGGAGGAATGGCATTTATCAGCGAGGCTGACAAGAGGCAACGCTCCTTTGCTCTGAGCATCGTCTCAGACATGGGATCCTTTAGATGCTTTTAGCTGCAGACAGCGGCACACCATTCAGACTTGAGGGTGTCCAAGCATGGTGCCAAAAGGCAACACAAGGACTGACACACATTTTGCCCCGTGCAAATATTGCACTCAGCACAAGCAGCTCCGAGAGCAGAGATTTTTCTTTTTCTTTTTTTTTTTTTTTTTTTCCTCCATCAAGGCTGGCTTTTTTTTCGGCCTCTTAGCTCCTTGAGACACAGCAGCTGCTAATGGACAGTCTCCCACTCCGTAGCAAGTGTTATGAAACGCTCAGGGGCACAGGCAGCAAAAGAACACGTCACAGAAAGGGGAAACAAGGTGGAAAAGACTTTTAGCTTCTCAGCCATGTTCTCCAGCCAGAGCGAGCGTCTTTGACATGTAGAGCTTTTGTTTCCACAGCAAAAGAAATATTTTTTCTGGAGGTTGGACTAGATGATCTCTAGAGGTTCCTTCCAACCTTAACAATCCTATGATTTGATGATTTATTACTTTAGAGCGGAGCAATGGCTAAGACCAATTTCAGAAGAAAAGTGCATGTCCTACTGCCTTCCCCCAGATATGTCACGCACAGGGACCTGATTACAGGTGTCTGTGTTTGTTGGCTCACGGAGAACCAAACTACTCTCTAGCCCCCCATCTCCAGTGGCAGAGGACAGAGCTCCCCTACGGAATGGCCATCACCAGGGGAATGTGACTGCCGTGGGCAGGCAGGAGGGAAGTCCAGAAGGATTCTGGGCATGTCGTTACATTGGCTGAATAACTACATTCCCTACTCAAACACAGACAGTATCATTTGTTAGGACAGAAGGTACCAACCATGGCCCATTTTGGAGCCATGTCTACATCTCTTAATACAGCTGATGCTGGAGTATTCCTGGTGCACAACTGCCCCAAAGGCCAGGGACATTGAACATTGCTTTCTCCAGAGTTGTCATCTCTCAGTGCTCGGTGAATTGAAACCCTGAGGTTTCAGCTTTTATTGTAAGGTGGAAAACCCCACATGCTTATGGTTTCCCACCACAATAAAGTTCTTTGCAAGTCTACTTCTGTTTTAATATTCTTTGCCATATATAAAAGCTTTGCCCCCTCCCTGCCTGCCCTTTCAGAGGGTGTGAGGATAAGAAGAATGAGGCACGGTACCTTCAGCAGTGGGTCCTAATGCATCTACTGCTTCTTGTGATACTTGGGGCAGGATTGCAGTAGCAGTGGCTGACAGAGGTTGAGAGTCTTGAGCAACAGCAGGTTCTGTCTCTTGTCCTGACGCTGTGGGAGTGGAGGACTCTATTTCAAGCTGAGCCTCTTCAGGACTCTTGGCTTCCTGTGTTAATTCAACATCTGGAATCTGGGTGCTAATTACAGTGTCTGGGACAGAGGTTTCCCCTGAAATGTTTGTGTCTGAGTGTGTCAGAGTTTCAGATGTTGCTTCAGTCACTTCCTTCTCAGGAGCTCCAGAAGACTCTGGACCGAGTGAAGGTGCAGTAGCTGTTTCCATGTGAACACCAGGCAAGGCAGAACTTTCACTGCTGCTTTCATGGACTGGGGATGTTGCTGTGCTAATCTCAGGAAGGGCAGATATTTCACCCCTGGCTTCTTGGCTTGTAGATGTTTCAGTTCTCATTGCAGGAAATGCAGATTCGTCACCACTAATTTCATGCACTGTCGAAGTTTCTATACTAATTCCAGGGTACATAGATGTTTCCCCACTTACTTCCTGAACTGTGGATGCTTCTATGGTAATTTCAGGGAATGCAGATGTTTCTCCCCTAGCTTCTTGACTTGTGGATGTTTCTATATTAATTTCAGGGAATGCAGATGTTTCACCCCTGGCTTCTTGACTTGTGGATGTTTCAATTCTAATTTCAGGAAACATTTCTCCACTGGTTTCATTGACTGTTGAAGTTTCTATGCTAATTTCAGGAAATGCAGATGTTTCCCCACTGGTTTCATGGACTGTCGCTTCAATACTAATTTCAGGAAATGCAGACGTTTCACCCCTAGCTTCTTCAGTGGTGGATGTTTCTATTCTAATCTCAGGAAATGCAGAATTTTCCCCACTGATTTCCTGTACTGTTGAGGTTTCTATGCTAATTTCAGGAAATGCAGATGTTTCACCCCTGGCTTCTTCAGTTGTAGATGTTTCCAGATTAACTTCAGGAAATGCAGATGCTTCCCCACTGATTTCGTGGACTGTCGAAGTCTCTATGCTAATTTCGGGAAACGCAGATACTTCCCCACTGTTTTCATAGATTGTTGAGGTTTCTATGCTGATTTCAGGGAACGCAGATGTTTCACCCCTGGCTTCTTGACTTGTGGATGTTTCTATCCTGATTTCAGGGAATCCAGACGTTTCCCCACTGATTTCTTGAACGGTAGAGGTTTCTATCCTAATTTCAGGGAATGCAGACGTTTCCCCACTCATTTCTGGAACAGTAGATGTTTCTATCCTAATATCAGGAAATGCAGATGTGTCCCCACTGATTTCTTGAACAGTAGAGGTTTCTATCCTAATTTCAGGGAATGCAGATGTTTCCCCACTGATTTCTTGAACGGTAGACGTTTCTATGCTTATTTCAGGAAATGCAGAAGTTTCTCCACTGATTTCTTGAACTGTAGATGTTTCTGCGCTGATTTCAGGATAGCCAGAAGTTTCTCCCCTGGCTTCTTGACTGGTGGACGTTTCTATCCTAATTTCAGGAAATGCAGAATTTTCCCCACTGATTTCTTGAACTGTGGATGTTTCTATTCTAATTTCTGGAAAGGCGGAAGCTTCCCCACTGGTTTCTGGAAAGGCAGACACTTCCCCACTGGTTTCTGGAAAAGCAGACGCTTCCCCACTGATTTCTGGAAAAGCAGACGCTTCCCCACTGATTTCTGGAGCTGTGGATGTTTCTAGGCCAATTTCAGGAAATGCAGATGTCTCCCCACTGGTTTCTTGAGCTGTGGATGTTTCTAGGCCACTTTCAGGAAATGCAGATGTTTCCCCACTGATTTCATAAGATGTTTCTATCCCAGTTTCTGGGAGTGCAGATGTTTCCCCACTGAGTTCACCAGATGCAGAGGCCTCACCGCTCGGCCCGACACCGTAGGGAAACGTGACTGCTGTTTCCCCACCCAGTTCCTGGGAAACTGTTGGCTTTGTCACAGCTTCAGCTAAATCAGAAGTGACTAAAGTGACTTCTGGAAGCCCTGAGACCTCCCCGCTAAAATCAGTCACTGCTGAAGATTGTCCACTTAGGTCTGTGATTCCAGAAAAGTCTCCACTGAAATATGGGATCCCGGATGGCTCTCCACTGAAGTCTCCTGTCCCTGAGGGTAACCCACTAGTGTCCACAACTGCAGACCCCTCTCCAGATATTCCTCTGTCTCCAGAAGGAAAACCACTGATTTCTATCATCCCAGAGGGCCCTTCTCCCACCTCTTGTGCAACAGATGCCTGAGTAACAACTTCAACCAAAGTGGTATCCACAAGAGAGATTGTAGGAAAGCCAGACACGAGTCCGCTGCCCTCTCCAGACATTAGGCCGTTAGTGACTTCAACCCCAGAGACTTCTCCACTGCCATCAATGACTCCGCTTGGAAGTCCACTGGTCTCAAGCACTCCAGAAACACTCCCGCTGAAGTCTATATGCCCAGAACCACTCATGTCTAAGCTACCAGATACCATGCCTGATGTGTCTTCACTACCTGAAGGTAAGCCACTGATCTCCAAAAGCTCTTTTGCTTCCACTTCTGTCACAGAGGGGGTTGTCACTTCTACCAAACTGGCATTTAGAAAGGTAATGCCTGAAGCCTCACCACTTCCATCATCACCAGAAATAAGGCCACTGAGATCCACCTGGCCACTGATCTCAGGTATTCCAGATGATTCTCCGCTGATATCCAGTCCTGAGGGTAACCCACTGAGCTCGGGTACTCCAGAGAGCTCTCCACTGAACTCTGGCACTCCAGAGAGCTCTCCACTGAGCTCAGCTCCTGAGGGTAGTCCACTGGTTCCTCCACTCATGTCCCATCCAGCAGACGGAAATCCAGCAGATCCTTCACCACTAACTCCAATCGATCCTTTTCCTTCCTCTTGCCTTTCCGTTGCTGCTGTTACAACTTCCACCAGAGTAGAATCCACAAGAGAGACGGTAGGAAACCCAGATGGGAGTCCACTTTCCTCGCCAGATGGCAGGCCACTAATTAGCTCAGTTCCAGAGAATTCTCCACTGAATCCGGAATTCAGCCCGCTACTTTCCACTCCAGACGGCATCCCACTAATTTCTGGTATCCTTGCAGTAGACACTGATATATCTTCCCCTGCAGAAGGTAAGCCACTAACATCAACAATCCCAGAAGGTGCTCCACTTAGGTCCCCTGATGATAGCCCACTTTCTCCACTGGTATGCAGGTCTGCTGATGACAATCCACTTTCTCCAATCCCGGAGTGTTCTCCACTAAGTTCAACAATTCCAGAAGTCGATTCTCCGCTTATATCTGGGACTCCAGATACCCACCCAGATGTTGAAGATTCACCACTGACTTGATGCCCTTCAGATTCAGTGATCTCCCCTGACACACTGATGGAAGCATCAGTACTTGTTTCTTCTGGTATTACAGTAACTGGAGGAAATGCAGATGGAGTCACTGGAAAAGAAAGAGGGAACCAAGAGAGGGAGATAGAAAAATGATTTACTGAACTACTTTAAATGAGTTATTAAAAAATTCCTGATCAACTTTACTTCCAAACTGACACCAAACAAAATAACCTTTGAAATAAAGGTACAAAGTCCTATGGGCTCACAGAAATCCTTTGACCCCTTCAGATTTTGAAAATTAATGAGGATTATATCTTAAAAAATCCAATGCCTTATATATCTTCGAGAAACTGACAGAATGTATAAATTTGTGACTTAGGACAGTGGTGGCACCAAAAAAAAAAAAAAAAAAAGCTACTGCTTCTTTGAAGATAACATTTGGAAGAGAAGTTTGGTGCTGCTCTGTACCGCAGTAGTAACTCCATCCTCCTTGGAATGAAAAGCTAAAATCTGTCTCTAGCCTTGTCTGTCCCCACTCAGAGACACAATCTTATGTTAGCATGAGGTGCCAGGCATTAACAGCCTGGCAGGATGGCTGTTAATAGTTCAGTTTTAGGAAGAAGTTCAATAACACGCAGTTTTTCCTGTGGTAACTGTGCACACATGCCTCAGATGTGCAACTTTGTTTATCCAGGTCACACAGTAATAAGCCAGGCTTTGCTAATACAGTGAAAGCTACAAAACAAAAGAACAAAAAATACCCCAATTTTCCAAAGTGAGATTATGTTTGTTCCAGGTCTTTTACACAGCAAAGCACAAAGCTAGGAGAGCAAGAAGACCTTGCCTTCATTTAAGGAACTGAGTATGTCCACACTGTCCACTGAGAACTGCACCTGAGGCTGCCACGCTGAAGAACCAATTCTATGCAAGAGAGTCCTGTGAGCATCCTCCCTTCTCCTCAGCTGGATTCAGAAGGGCTTCTCGTCAGCAAGGATATAGTCCATTCATAACAGGAATGCTCATAGTCCTGAGTTTGCTCCGCCAGATGTGACTTCAGAGACAGGGAAGAACAACTCACCTGAGAGCAGCGATACGTCAGTTGGAAAGACTTCTGTTCCCCAGGCTGTCTGATTCTCGGGTTCAATGGTAGACTCCATCTCTACAGTTGTTTCTTCCCCAGAAGGTACCCCCTCTACGCCAGGGATCACTTGGGTTACAAAAGCTTCTTCAAAGAAGGAGGTAACCCCTGGTTCTTCCACAGATGGCAGAGCTGGGACAGGAAGATATTGGAGGGAGTCTGTCAGAATTTGTGATCTCTCTCAGATGTATATTGCACAGCTCCATGAATGCTCTACGTACCAACACAATGAGCCATGAAAAACAAACAAGCAAAACCCAGAAATGCCTCTCATATTGGGAGATAAGCTAGATAGAAGAACTGGAGGCAGAGGGAATTGAGTGAGATTTTCTGTTTGAGAGTTTCTCAGGACAATAAAGTAAGTGCAGGGTTATGAACAATAGGAGGACATCTCGCTGAGTCCCCAGAAGCAGCAGCTTTTTGCTGAATCCTGCTTACGGGGACTGGACTCCCCAGGTGACCAACCTCTCATGAAATTCTACCCCCAAAGGGGCAGGTCTATGAACATGGGCACTAGAAAGGGTGGGATGGTACCTCTGAAACAGAACGCGTGATGCCGTGACAGTGGGTCGGGGAAGCCCGTCTGGTTGTAGTGCAGGTAGATGGTCCTCACACCAGGCTCATCTCCCCCGCAGGCAGGTCGCGGGGTCACTATTGGGTATCGGAGGCTGCCATCAGCTAACCAGCCAGCATAGCATCTGTCCAGACCCTGCTTCCACGCAGCATGGAGTTGCCCAACAGAGGCCAAAGTGGCATTTTGGCTCTCACAATACTCCTGAGCTTCTTGGAAGGTGAATAGATATGGCTGGGTTGCAAAGAACACCTCGCCTGAGGGAAAACAAATGGAAAAAGCATGTTTGAGCCCTTGAACTTCTCCATGGCACCTGGGGAACATGTCTGCTCTTTACACATACACGTGCAGGTGTAAAGATCAGCAGCAATCCTCAGGAGCAGGGGAAGAACATACCCTTTAGCCTGTCAATGTAGCAGTACACATCGTAGGTCTCTGAGGCTGGCCGCATGCCGTAGGACCGCACGCCCGGAGAGCCTTCTCTGTCTCCTACACAGTTACTTCGGGGATTCACAATGGGATACCTACCAAAAGAAGAGAGGAGGTTCCACCTTATGTCCCTTGAACTGAAGAATTTCAGTGGTGTGCTTGGGAACAGGATGCAAAAACGTGGCATTCTGAGGTGCTCAGAGACCTTAGCATGACTTGCAAACAAGTTCAATTGCACCTACAACCTGGAGCAATGAATACAAACTTTTCCCCCTTTTTCCTAAAACACGTAACCATATGGTAAAACTGACTGCTTGAGAATGTAAATATGGATTAAGAACAGGTTAGACATATTAATAAAAAGAGTTCTATTGGTTCTTATTGGTCACCTTATTGGTGCCTAGACAATCACAGGTTGCAAAAGTCTCAGCTGACGAGGAACAGAAGAGCAGGATATACCAAGCAAAGCCTCAAGTTCATGGCCAAATATTCATTTCAAAGGCTCACTTCCCCAGTGCACTATCGTTTTACCTGACTGTCTGGTCCCGCAGCCAGCCGGCATCACACTGATCAAAGCCAGCCTCGTAGGCAGCCTGGAGCTGTTCAGGGGTGGCAATGACTGCGTTGTTATCCAGGCAGGCCTGCTGGGCTTGCACGAAGGAGAAGGCATATCTGCTGGTGGCAGCACGATAGTGGAACACCACACCTGGGGAAAAGCGAAGAAACATTGATCCACAGGATACATAACCCCCCTGCCCTCCACCAAGACTGGTGGCCAGAAAGGATCCAGAAAGGATCTTGTCCCTGCAAGGACAAGAGTCTCTCAAATCCTTTTTCATGGAGATCTGTCATTCACTGAGCTTTGTTCTCAAGGGCAGTGCTCTGGGCATCTCTTTAGCTCTCTTTGAGGATCTTGCTTTCTTGACTTTCCCCTTTCCTATAGCAAGGTGTGCGTGGGATTTCAGAGTGTGACTGCTGCAGCTCCAAGCATCAGACAGCTCAGCTCTTTCCAGCACATGATGAGGCAGCCCACAGCCTCCTCCCTCATCACTCTTCCTGTCCCACTGAAGCAGACATTCAGCTTGATCTGACAAGCTCCCCAGCAGCCAGAGCTGGAGGCACTCCAAGTTGGAGGAAGCTCAGACTGCTTTCAGCTGAATAGCTGACCCTAGAAGAAGCAGACCTTAAACTTCTTGGGGTCCTGGTGACTTACCTGTGGGAGAAATGGGCTGCTCAGGGAGGAGAGCAGTATCAGGGTAAGCCGTCACTCGTACAATCTGATCTTCTGCTGTGAACGGAGAGGCAGACGCTAGTCCTGGGGTGGCAGTCACCCCAAAGGCCTCTTCCACCGAGCTCACTTCTGCTGTTCCAGTGGTGAAGGCAGTGTCTGAAACTGAGGTTGTGACAACTTCAGGCACAGTCCACCCTTGTGTGACTTCTTCTCTGGTCACATTTTCTTCTTCAGGGAAAGCTGTCTCTGCTGTGACACCAGTGGGCAAGAGTCCGGGCACAACGGTGAAGCCTTCGTAGAGCTCAGTGGCAGTGGGTGTGATTTCAATGGGCTCCAGGGTAGCGATGCTGCCACGAGCCTCCTCCTGTGTGACATTGTGTGGCAGAGGTAGCTCGACTTCAGTTTGGGTGACAGTCTGGATGGTGAACGCACTGCCCAGCTCACTTCCCGTGTCATCAGTGAACTGCACTGGGACTAGTGCTTCAAGATCATCGCCTAAAATCAAGAGACAAAGAAATGATTACAGAGGATGTGGACGGTCTAGCGAGGTCTGGATATACTGGGCTGGTTGTTGCCTCAGAGAAGCAGCTGGATATTTGCTGGCTCTGTGGGACGCAGGAAAATCATGTTGTTGTTGTAAAATAAATTCTTACTGATTCCTTACTCCATTGTGTCTTTGCAACACTCCAGTGCCAGAGCATGTTCTTAAGTCAGAGGCAATGAGTCACCACGGACAGAGCTGGTAAATGAGAAGGACTCTCCTTGTTTCCCTTCCAGCTCTCATTCCCGGGAACACCTTGCCCAAATCCAAGTCTGCACTGACCTCTAGTGCCTGCTACAAGGAACTCAAGATGGCCAAAGGAAAGTAGAGGTGCTTGGATAACCTCCAGAGCAGATCTGAGATGTTGAGTGATTTATGGAAAGGCAAGTAGCTCTTCACAGTAAACAAAGTCACGCCAGGATCCTCCTTTTGGTCTACCAGCAGAATAATGAGGTGGCAAGGACTTAAGAACTCACCACATATAAGCTACCTCCATCACTAACGCAGTTGAAGGCATCATAAATTATTTTTAACAAGTCCTTTACTTCTGCCTTTCTCCTCCCAAATCCCTTTCCTGCTCTAGTCTCATCCTTTGCAGCTAGGAGAACATTGAGCAGTCCTGCTTAATATCTTATTAAACAGACTGTCCTGCAGCAAGGAATGCAATTTAAAGAGCAGCATAAAACAGATCAGGGAGGTAGAAAACCTCTGGAAAGGCTGCAGGTCTCAGTGGGGCAGAAAAGAGCTAGGGAGACAAAGCTAGGCCTTCCACCTAAGAGTGTTTTCCCCCTCTATATTTTTCCAGTAACATTTTCCAGCTACGCACACCTTCACTTCCCAATCCCATGAATACAACGCACTCACCACTGTAGCAGATGGCATCGTAGCGAGAGTGAGGGTGAGGGTACCCCGTCTGGTTGACGTACAGGTACACCGTGCGCACGCCCACCAGGTTTCCTCCACAGTTGGGCCGTGCTCTGGAAATGGGGTAGCGGACGCTGCGGTCCGCCAGCCAGCCCGCACTGCACACATCCATGCCATCCTTCCACGCCAGGTACAGCTCCCCGGTGGTGGCCAAACGGGCACCCAGGCTGCGGCATTTGTCAAAGGCTTCCTGGAAGGTGAACTTCTCCGGGGAGGTGGCATAGAAGACTTTACCTGGAATCACACAGGAATTAGCTGTAGAGTTTAATCCCAGTTCCCTTTCTGTCCTCTTCCCATTCTCTCGAGAGTCTGACTAGGAGAAAATTTCCCTGTATTACAGATGTACCTCAACTCTGGGTGGGTGACAGACTATAAAGACCCCAGGTTTTTATAGAAAGGGAATTTTAGAGTGAATCAATTGGAGCAAAACACAAAACTAGCTGGAGTCACAAGACAAAAGGAAGATAAAGGACACTTTCAGTTCTGATGTGCTGAGCATTTCAGTGGATCTTCACTGTAAGCATAAGTGACAAATACCTCTGAATATCACACCCACCCTTGAGCGATGATTAACAACAAACAGGGTGGCAAATCCCCCAGCGGAGGTTAGACTGACACCACCCTCTGTAGTATGTTAGTCATTTGACATGAAAATTGCCCATGGTCTAACAAAGAGCCCACAGAGATTGCCTGGCCTTGCTGAGGGATGTGCTTTTCCGTCTTGAACCTGCCTTCCTCTGTACTTACAGGCATGATCAGAGCTTTATCTGCTATTGTTTCTAGTAAGCAAAGCCCCAAATCACCTCGCATTTGCTCTGCGTAGCAGTAAACATCATAGGTTTCATCAGTCTCCCGGACACCATAGGTCCTCACTCCGGGAAATTCATCCTTGTCACCGTAGCAACGCTCTCGGGGACGGTGGATGGGGTACCTGAGGGGGAGAAAGAGAGTGCATGCGGTGGGCAGGACTCCCATGTCCACATCAAAGCTTGGAGAGAGCCATGGATCACAGCGCAACTCTTGCAGGAGGGAGGAAGCAGGTAAGGCAATACTTTATGTGTGTTTCTTTTTGTTTGTTCTTTTTTTCTGGGAGAAGGGACGAGATGATCTACTGTCCTGTTTCCCCTCTCATGGTCCTGAGCCCAGTAGATCCCTGGGAGAACTAGCCAAAGACATGAGGACAAGATGCTTCCCAAGTGGGGGATACACAGGATGGATAAGTCATGTGTTTTGGTCTTAGCACAGCATCTGCTTCAGCCATGGAGAATGGAAGATCAGGACTAAGCCACTGACCACTCAGTTACCACCACCAGGTGAGGAGGACTGGGGTACCAGCATTTTCTCTCCAGGCAAGAACTGGTTTGCAACACACTAGCTCCCTTCATACACTAATAATCATGACAATTGTTATTTAGCAACTGTTTCTGAACCTTCCTCAGGCAGTGTCCTCTTCATAAAAGTCCTTATCCAACCACCTTCTTACCCATCCTGTGCTTTTCCTTACCTGACAGTCTGATCAGCCAGCCAGCCGGCATCACACTGCTCGTACCCATCTTCATAGGCAGCTTGCAGCTGCTCGGGAGTAGCAATGACAGCACTGTTCTGGATGCAGGCCTGCTTGGCCTTCTCAAAGTTCAAGGTGTACCTCGTGGAGATTGCTCTGTAGTGGAATACAACGCCTGAAAAACACAAAGGCCATCACTCCTACATGTCTACCAGAGCAGAATAAGTCCCTTTTCTTCCAAAGGATTTTGGGAACCAAAGAGAAGATATTGCATTCCAACTCGGAATGATGAACTATTTATGGTGATTATCTTTGAATATCTCAGCCAAGGGCAATTTGATAGGCTCATGCCACAGGACACTTGCCCTGTGGAACACATTGGTTGCCTAGAACAGAGGTTGTTCCCCATGATCCTGGGAAAAATAAAAAATCACCATGTGTTAATAAGTCAAGGTGAAAATTCACCAGGAGGCAATGAAGGGACTCACAGTCCTCTGCTATGAGACATATCCTGCAGTGCATGTGACCAGCAAAAAACCTTCTGGTTAAAGGCTGTAGTGAAAACTGTCTCAGTATAGGTATTGAGGGAAAGGCCAGGGAAAGTAAAAGCCTTGATAAGGATGGTAGAAAATATAACTGTTTTATTATCCGCCTATTACTAGGATGGGCCTTGTAAGACTACGGATTTTTTTTTTTTCCCAGAGTAAACCAGAAATCCAGCTGAGGGCATCCCGTCTCCTAAAATGCTCGGAAGAACAAAACCATAGCCCTGTCCATGCTTCACCCCCTCGAGCAATAACCCAGCCTCTCCAGTAGCACCTCCTGCCAGCCCTGTGGCCTTGCAACCTCTGTAACTCAGCTTCCACCCAACTGAGTCATTTTATTGCTTTGCTTAGTCTGCTCTGACTTGCTAAACTGTATGCCTGGCCCATGGCTTCTGCTTACCTGACTGTGGCCTTGTCTGTGACCTGGCTGAAAGGGCTTAGAGCTATGGAAAGAGCAGCACCTCTCCTGTCCCCACAGTTTCTTACTCCCTTCTGTCCAACCCAGACAATCTGATGCTAAGAGGAAAGAGCAAAGGCAGGAGCTCACCTTTTACTAGGACCTCTATGGTGTCTTGTCTGTCCTCAATCCCATGCATCACTTCACAGCGATAAATCCCAGTGTGGTTGGATCTTAGTGCCTTGATTTCCAAGGTGGCATCGGTGGGGATGGCAGGGTAATTGGGCAAAGAGATCACCTCCCTGTACTCCATGTTGAGTCGGATTTTCCCACCGGTAGCCACTAGCAAGACAACTTCTGTCCCATTTGAGAGCTTGCTCCATTTGATCCGTGGGGTCAGCAGAGCACTGGTGTCATCTTCCTCAGGGATGTTGAAGTAACAAGGGATGTTCAGGGAGCTTCCCAGGACAACACGCAGGGGAGACTGCTCAGGTATCTTCACTTCCAGGCCATCACTATTGTCTGCCAGTTCCCAAACAAAGCAATGATTACGTCAGTGAGACACTTCACACACAAACTCCAGTGCTTTCAATGCTCCAGAGACCCTTTCTGCTTTGTAAACCTGCACCTGTATTCAGACAGCCTTATTATTATTATTATTTTGGTTTAGATAACTTGTGGAAATGGAAGCTGCAACAGTGACCCTTGTACCATGGTTGCCTTTGGGAGCTGGGAGCAGTTCTAGCTGCAGACATGAAGGTAGTGAAGGGCTCTGCTGCAGTGCAGCTCCACACCATGATGTAATATCACTCCAGAGAGGGCTTAAGAACGGGGAATGCTTTAGCTCCTTTAGTTTCCCTATCAATATACCCGTCTGGAATTGTCTCCCTTGCTCTTTGGGCACAACAGCAGTGACATGACTGTAAAACAGTCATTCAAAGACACAGCCCTGTGTGTGTACAGAGCAAGTCTAGGTGTTCATGGTTGAGGACGGGACCAGAGTGCAGCACATCGCTCAGTCCCAGCGTCCTGCACCTCGGAGCACGTACCTGAGAGCTCCACAGAGACGGCTGCAGTGATGACTTGCAAACACACAAACACCAATAGTAAAGTGGTCATAGTTTACCTGCAAGAAACAACACAGGGAGAAAGGCTTTGACAGCTGTACAATCACGTGGAAGGGAGTGCTGTGGAGGCTGCTAAGGGAGCCACTAGCCCAGCTGTATAACGCCGTCAAGTCACCCCTTAACATTCCTGTATGCGACTGGCAGTGAAATTTGGGCCTTGGGCAAGCACATGGTCCTGAAATGCATCTTGCTCCAAGAAACAGGTCCTTCAGACAAATAAAAATGACGTTCTGTTATTCATAACAGGCTCAAGCGTTATTATAGATGACCGACTACGTTGCTTTCTCATCATCTCCCTTGTGATCCGATCTTCCCTGTGGAGCGCAAAGACAATTTGGAAACAGCTCTTTACACTTGTTTTGTATTTACTCCAGATGGACTAGCAGACCCTTCCCCTCAGAGCAGGAGCTGCCCATTGCCAGCACCCTACAGCCACCCCTGGTTCCCAGAACAGATGTCTAGATGCATTTTTCGCACCTTAAAATGCTCTGAAGGGAAATCTCCTCCTTTTAAGCTGAAGGTTATCATGCTTTGTACCAATTTCTCATACTGACAGCATGTGTAGCCTAACTGTTAATGGATACTGTATGTCTGCAAGAAACCTGCAGGATCTGATTCTGGGCATGACTTAACTCCAGTAATTATCCTCTTGGGATCCTCAGACTAGGTAGAACCACCTACTACTTAAGAACGCTCTAGGAAAAGAAAGCAGGGTCCTCTTGACTCTAAATGGCAGAAGCAATAGAGGGAGGCCAAAGAAATTAAACTTCACTAGATTATCATTCATAATTATTCCTTTGCCTAATGTCATAGGACTTTATATAGCCCAAATTGCTCAGGTCGGTTTTAACATTTCAAATAAAAAGTGTCATTCCACAACACAGCATCTTTCTGCACAACATTCAGTACTGATTCAGCTTTGACTCATAGGCAAGGGCCCCACCTACTGAATCACAAGTTTCCTTTGAGGGCACCTGTCCAAACATTGGCCATTTGACTCCTGTGATCTAGAAGGATCCCAGGTGGCTGCAGCCAACAGGGAATATCCTGAACACACACCTATCAAACTAGCAAAAAAAGGCCATTAAGTATCTACAAAGGCCCAAAATAAACCTTGTCCTGTGCAGTACAGCACAACCTTTCATTGTGCAGTAGTGTGAACACTTGGGGGTCTCTCTGGCTAGGAATGACACCTGTATAAGCAGCATCATATGAACCAAAGCAAGCCCAGCCATGGTACTGGCCATCACTAGAAGAACATCATCCATCACGCTGCAACGTTGCAGAAGGGCCTGAAGTTGCTCATTGCTCTTATCCAGAAAACAGCAGGGGAATGAGCCCAAAGCACGTGCTGGGAGGAGCGATGAGGAGCCTTCTGCTCATTACCAAGCCAGAAGAATTGGAAACACCATCTGCTCCAGATAAACAGTGTGAAGTCAGCTTGGCCAAACACCCATACCCGAGAGTCCTTAAGGAGTGTGCTGAGGAAACTGCTGGCCTGCTGCTCTTCGTTTATATTCTGGGTTGGAGCTCTAGGGCATGTCCCACATAGGGAAGCACTGTGCCAAGAGTCCAAAAAGATACACAAAGATGAGCCTCATAAATACAGCATGTTTTGCTTGACATCAATTCCACACGAAATAATGGAAAATCTAACACATTTCAACTCATTAAGCACAGAAGAATAGGAATAATGTTAATCTTAGCCGAGGCTCTAGTAGAGAAAACAGATGCTGCCACAATGGATTTTATTTGTATGATGTCAAGTTTGTCTGATATGGCTACCTGCATGTTTGGAAGGCTGTATTGTAGTTGTATTAATTTATCGTAATTAACAATGTTTGATTTAATAGAGTTCCAGACTATTAGGATTTGTAATGTCAGTAACACAATAAACAACTTAGCAGAAGTCTAGGCAGCAGGTCTCAAGGGAGTCATCTGAGGGACAGCGATGTTGTCTGAGGTCTCTAATGGACCTCTGGAGGGGTCAATATTAGGCACAGTATTTTTCTAAACGTACCATATTTGAAACAAAAATACACACTTAAGAACATAGGATGAAGAATATGCTTGGAAAATGGGAGGTTTTGTCCCAAAAAGCAGTGACTCAGGATGGCTAATGCCATCCTTTGACTGCAAAGCAACTAGCAATACCTCTGTGTGTGCCTGTGGTAAGAGACTGGAATACTCTTCTGGGGTGGCATAAGGACACTGGAAAAGATGGTGCAGAACACATCCACTAGCAAGGATTTGAGGGCTGGAAGGAATACTTTATGCGGGGAGGCTAGGAAGCCCAGACTCAGTTTTGGAACAAAAGTAAGGCTGAGAAGCAAGTTGACTATAAATATACATAAATACATATTTTAAGGAGAAACTGCTGGTACTAAAGGACTATAATCTAACAAAAAGGCCCAACAAGAACTAATACTGTGCAACCATTTACCAAGGAAAATCAAACGGAAGAAATGCCCACATTTTAACAGAGGGTGATGGATCATTGGAACAACTATCAAGGGATACAATGAAGTTTCTGCCCCTCTGTGGTTTCCTAACAAGACCAGAATGCTTCTTTAGAAGATATGGGCAAGGCAAACAAGTTAGTGGACTCAATAGAGGTAAATGAGTGAAACCCACGGGTCCCATCTGACATTAAAATCTATGAATATGAATGTGTCAGTGTTTCGATCCCTGCCCCTGTATTATTCATCTTGCCTGGCTCTAGGCAGTACAAAGAATCATGTTTATGAATAATTACCTCACATATTTTTAACTGTCTTGTAGGATCACAGGCAAAAACACATCCCGTAGAATTAACACCCATCTCTGCTCAATCTAAGCCAGCTCTGCATATGATAGGCAGCCTCTGGCACTGTGTCAGGCAGTAAGAAGGAGACTCAGGAGTGAGCTAAATAGCAGAGGACAGGGCTAAGAGATTAATCTGTATCTTGGGGAACATCTCCAGGTTACACACTAATCACTGCTAAGACATGAGGCATTGCAAAGCCCTTGATGCAGGCACAGCTTCATTTTGGCACAGACTTTAAGCTCTAGGAGGAAACTTAAGTCAAATCTCTGAAGAATATTCTTATTTAGAGGGATGCATCCAAGAAGGACACACAACATCGAGAACTCTCCTTGAAGAGGTGACTGCTTCCATTGCGGACCAACCTGACTGCAGCCAAAACCTGTCACCCTGAAACAAGCTGAGGTTTTGGAGCAGACTTGGTTGACTTCTACCCGTGCTGGTGAATTTACTCCATTCTTATGGATAAAAAGAAAAATGAGAGGACAAAGCTGAATCAAATCCTGGAAATTGATTTCCCATGTTCTCCCTAGACTGCTATGGACCCCCCAGGGCAGTAGGCACATTGGTGAGATAAGAGCAGTGGAAGTTCTCCCAGCAGCTGTCATACCTACTCTAACCTTAAATAAAAGCTCTCACTTCTCCAGGCTCCTTAAACCAGGTACCCTTCAGCAGGCTCAGGAATTTGCCAGAATCAATTTCAGCTGAACAGCCCCTAGCGTGATGTGATAAACTCACCAGCCAAGAGAGGTGAGGCAGCCCTCAGTCTAGACCACCTACTGAAGAACAGAAATATCTTAGAGCATGGAAACGGACACATTTAAACCCAACAGCAGCTGGCTGAAAAGACTTCTAGGATCCACATCAAGCCTGTTTGGAGTCCCACACAGGTGTTACTCTCCTTTCCACCTGCTTCAGCACGCTGGTTCATCTGTGCACTAACAGATCACACAACAACAGATCACAGATGTTACACATCACAGAACAAAGTAGACAAAACTGACTTTGTCCCAAAAGCTAAGACAAGTGCATGTACTCCTGGTCCCATTTATACTTTGTGCTGACCTTCCACAAGGAAAAATAACCTCATATGACAACAGCTGGAACCAGCAGTATCCTCACAGTTTGGCTTGGTCATAGGGGAAAAAAAACTTCTCCCACAAAAGCCCAGGGGCAGTGACTTGCTAGCAGTGGTTAGACAAACCATAACAACAATATTTTGGGTGTATTCTGCCAAAGTCTTGACTCTCTGCCAGTAAGAAACCCAACCTACTCCTCAGGGTGCCATTTGCAATCTTCATCTCCATTTTTCACTCCCCTAAGCTCACCAAAGAGCTCTAATCCCGAGGCTCCATGAGATCCATTGTGCTGAGAACGTCTTTGACCAGCATCCCAGCGTTCCCGCAATGATTCCATGCTGCAACACCTTACAGCTCTGTGCTGTCCCTAGCGGGGTGTCTGAGTGCACAACAAGGAGCAAAGAGCTGCTTTGAGCAGTAATTCCGGGAGAAAGTAAATACGGGGATTTATCCAAGTAAACGTGGACGTTGACAGCATGGATGATGGAGGTCATTCTGTTGATGGAGTAGGGGAAAAAATTCACCCTACACAGGTGAACATCCTATGGCCCTATGCTCATTGCAGGCTCTGTGCTGCAGAAACAGCCGACAGGCTGCAGTGTTTTTCTGTACAAAACTCCATTCGCACTTCTTGGGGAAAACAGCTGGAATGAGCAGCTTTCGTGGAGAGCAAGGAGGAGGAGGCAGAAGTTACATGAGGTCACGAGGATCCCTGTGCATTGGAACAACTGTCCTTGTGCAGGGTACCAAGCAGTCTGAGAGAACAAGAATCTGACCAAACTGCCACAAAAATCCCAGCCATCCCACCTTCTCCAACCAGCAACAGACAGGAACAAGGCCCTCTCCAGCACAGCCGGGGCCTGGAGGAATTCAGGAAAAGCTCTTACCTTTCCAAGAAAGGCAGCATCAGGGAACACTGGTAGGCTTAGGAGCTCTCCACCCCAGACAACAACTGCCCCTTTCATTTAAAAACTACAGCCACTGTTTTATGCCTAAGGCCATGCCTCTGTATCAGCCTGTGTGCAGACCATCCTACACTGGCTGCATGTGAATATGTTTATTTGAGAATCTAAGTGTGCGTGGAGGGAAGTGTGTATGTTAGTGCAGACAGGTTTAA